AAATAGTCTGAAGTAAATAGGATGAAATTCAATAAGGATAAATACAAAGTACTCCACTTAGGAAGGAACAATCAGTTGCACACATACAAAATGGGAAATGACTGCCTAGGAAGGCATACTGCAGAAAGGGCTCTGGGGGTCATAGTGGATCACAAGCTAAATATGAGTCAATAGTGTAACACTGTTGCAAAAAAAAAAAAAAAAAACCCGAACATCATTCTGGGATATATTAACAGAAGTGTGTTGTAAGCAAGAAACAAGAAGTAATTCTTCCACTCTACTCTGTACCGATTAGACTTCAACTGCAGTATTGTGTCCAGTTCTGGTTGCCACAATTCAGGAAAGATGTGAATAAATTGGAGAAAGTCCAGAGAAGAGCAACAAAAATGATTAAAGGTCTAGAAAACATGACCTATGAGGAAAGGCTGAAAAAAAATGGTTTGTTTAGTCTGGAGAAGAGAAGACAGAGAGGAGACACGATGACAGGTTTTAAGTACATAAAAGGTTGTTACAAGGAGGACGGAGAAAAAATATTTTCATTAACCACTGAGGATAGGACAAGAAGCAATGGGTTTAGATTGCAGCAGGGGAGGTTTAGGTTGGACATTAGGAAAAGCTTCCTAACTGTCAGGGTGGTTAAGCACTGGAATAAATTGCCTAGGGAGGTGGTAGAATCTCCATCATTGGAGATTTTTAAGAACAGGTTAGACAAACACCTGTCAGGGATAGTCTAGATAATACTTAGTCCTGCCATTAGTGCAGGGGACTAGACTAGATGACCTCTCAAGATCCCTTCCAGTCCTATGATCTATGACTCTAAAATGTTCAGTTGTGCATGGAAATGTGAAAATTAGTATTTTTCTCCTATTAATATGAGAAAATTTCTAAAAGACATTTTTGCAAATCCTAAATGAAATGAAAACATCTTGCAGTTCAAGGATTTAAAGTTTTGCATGGCTATTTCGAATGGCATTTAGTCCTATAGGTTTGGGACTAAAGGGTTGTAAGACCAAGCTTCTAGCAATGACTTCTTCCTTATTTATTTCACAGACAATGTCTTCAATCTGAAATCATGCAATCTAGGTATTACTCTTATAAAACTCATTGTGATTTTATGCTGTGCTTAGAGTCATGAAAGTGACCATGTGAAGCTGAAACCAAAAGAAATAATAAAAAATTATTAAATTTCCAGTGGTATCAGATTTAGATTTTAAGTAACATTTGCCTAATTAATTCATACAGTCAGTTCAAATGTACAAATCACTCACTACCAGGGGATTTTCATTAGGATATAGAATCTATTGGTTTTGCTTGTCAGTCAATGTGAATATCTATAATCGAGGATCATAAAAAAAAACTTGCAGAACTTGAAGCTCCTATCTTGTATATAGCAAAGAGATACTACTGTACATATTCACCTTCCAGAAATGTTAAGGTCGCAGCAAGGAACAAAATTCTCACATTGTCCCTTAAGGGTATGTCTACACAGCATTTTGGAGCAAGTGGGAGCGAGCCTGCCAGCCCAGGTCGACAGAACAGCTGTATAGACAGTGCTTTCAAATTGCAGCTTGGGCTGGAGCTCAGGCTCAGAAGCCTAAGGAGGGGCTCGCTCCAAATTGCAGTGTAGACGTATTGTAAGTGTCCTGGACCCTAAACTGGAGAGGATTGAAACCCGAAGAGCTGCTTAGTCTTGCACCTCTTTAGTAGACCAATAACGTCAGACAAGAGGAAGATTTGGGTGCTCCATGCATTAAAAAATTATCCGCCACGACTCTGTGGGAAAGTAGTGCTCAAAACCAAAATCGCAACTGTCCAGCCATATGGTTGTGACGCTGGCAGACCAGGTGCCAGCTCAGTGGAATGCTGACAAATACACAGCTGGAACCTGTCTGGCTCACCCGTGTATTAGCATTGTTAAAATAGGCATTATCATTATAAGAATGTGTTTAGACTTTATTGAATGCTTGTGAGCTGCTGCATATATTAATCTCAGTTATAGTATCTGTATCCTATATTGTAGGGTACTATGTCAGTGTCTGCATTGTAAGCCTCTGTAACTGTATAAATCAGCAGACAGGAGGGAGACATTAACTAGTGTGAAATGCTGGTCTCCAACAAAAGGTGTTATGTCCTGTCCGACAAGGAAGGCCCATAGACAGACAAACTAGAGTGGAACATTAAAGAGGGCAAAAGACTTTGTTGTTTACTCCCCCCCCCTTTAAGATGAGTCTTGCAAGAGAATTCCTCCCATTAGTTGAGTTTTCAGCTTAAAGTGGGGGGGGGGAGGGGGAGAGGGGAGAGAGAAAGGGAATAAAAAAATAAAAACGCCTAAGTCCCCTAAGGAGAAACTGTATACCATTGCTTCTTGGACTCTGTTGGGCAAGGTTTCTAGGCATAACCAAGGGATCCCCAGCTGCTTAGCTGGAGTTAGCCCTAAAGGACATATAAAGCTTGCTTATTACAGAAGCTTCTATTACCTTTTGATACCTGAGTGTAACTCATTTGCAAATATATGTTTACTTGCTTTAACCTTGTAAATATCTCTTGTTTCTTTTTCCTATATAATAATCTTTAGATAGTTTATTACAGGATTGGCTAAAAGCATTGTCTTTGGTGTGAGAGCTAAAGTGCAACTGACCTGGGGTAAATGACTGGTCCTTTGGGACTGGGAGTAACCTAAATATTGCTGTGATTTTTGGTGTAAAGGAACATCTGTGTCACAAAGGTAAACTTACCTGGGTGACAACACAGACTGAGTACCCAAGGGACTATCTGTGACTCCATGGTAAGGCTGGCACAGTGTCTGAAGAGTTTAAACTTGATAATTGGTTGGTGAAATCTACGTATAGAACTCACCACCAATCTGAGGGCTTGTGCATTGCTTCCTTGCAGCCTGCCCTGAGTTTGGTATCATGCTCTTGAGCCACTACAAGACCGTTTGACATGAGGATAAAGCTTTCTTTGCCTTGTGAGTTTTTCAGTGCAAGAGCTGTCATGTGTGTATAGTGCCTCTCACAAGGGACCCCTGATCTCTGTCTGAGTCTTTAGGCACGACTGAAGTTCCAATACAAATAAATAATTTTTATATCTTTTTCAAGTAGATAAACGCATCTAAAGACTCTATAGACTAGACTGTATGGGCCTAATGCTGGACACCCAGTGCAAAACTGGAGAAATGAGGCCTTATACAAGGGATCTCTGTTGGGGGGTGGTGGTAATCAATTCTCTTCTTCAATCACTGGGAACAGAGAATCTCTGAAGCCACTAAGAGAACCCACGTGCAACCATAGATTCAGAGATCCATCTGCTCCAGGTGAGTATTTATGCCAGCTGATCAGTGTAGTCACAGAACCAAGATCCATCTGCTGTGCTTCAGAACACTACCACGTGGCTCGCTGGCAGCACGTACTCCCCTTGGTGTCCCCCATCATAAAGAAACCATGGCTGTTCCACTACATCTCGGGGCCTTCTACACATAGGAGGGCAGAAGCAGTATTTGGCCCTACTGACACCTTCATAAACATGATTTTTAAGGTGCTTGGATCATTTTGAGTTATTTTTTCCCATTGTTTAATCTTAGAGATGACAGCAATTTAGGCATCCTCATTTTACCAGTAGCTGACATAGATCCCTTAATGGAAAAGTCTTAGAGAATTTAATAGGGTGGAGCCAATACTTAAAAAGGGCTACACCACCTTCTATAATTCTAGAGAAGGGACGTAAATTTCTATTACATTCTACAGCATGCTTCTAAAGTTTCATAGAAAGGATACAACTTTCTCTCAATTTCCACAGGACTTTTCCATAAAGATCCATCGGAGTGAACTAGAGCAGACAGCAGGCCTTCCTGTTTCCACTATTTGTTTGTCCAAAGGTGTGGTGGGAATTCCTTCTGGATGTCAGAAAGCACCAGGAAAATCAAATAATTTGGCAGTGCCGCTACTGTAACAGCTGGCATAAATTCTCAGGATCCGTTATCTCATAAGCATGCAAGGTTTGTGAGTGAACTTTCAGGCAGCACATTTCTCCGAAAGGACAGTGACAGGGCATTGAACATCCTGGTTAATTGACTATTTTGGAAGCATATTTATAACTCCTTTGTTCCATATAAAAAGGCTGATTGCTACGCTGACATTAACACAAAACTGCTCAGCAATAAAGCAGACCAGATGCATTTTCAAAATTATTTGCCCTTGTCATCTTCAGGCCTGATTTAGAGTTTCAGCTTTTAAATTTACTGGGCCCTAAAATATCATCTGAAGCTCAAATCTCATCAATGAAGCTCAAATTACCTCCCACCTTTCTTCCTTTATCTTAATGCAAAAAGTTTGATGCCTGATACGATATGTGGACTATAACAATGGTTTAAAAGATTCATTCCCTCCATGTGCATATACTGAAACAAACATCTACATTTTTTGGCTGCAGCTGCTGTTATACCAGGTGTCTGAAGCCTGAAAACAAAGCAATACATGTAGGCCCTGTGGGGACCTTTTCTACAGTGAGCTTTGGTGGCTGCAGGGGGAATCCTTCCTTATAGGCAACATTTACTTCTGAACAAGAATAACATGTTTAGAACTATAACCAGCCTGGGAAAAAACTCCATTATTGTTTCTTGTTGTCCATCTCCATATGGGATCCAATCCAGATTCCTATCAACTTCTTACTATCCACGCGTAGCATTTTTGGAGATTTTATTGTTCATGGTTCCTTTCTAATTAACATCACCACGTGAAATTATTTCTCAGTGCCAGACTGAAAGCACCAAATGTCACTCTGAGCTCAATAAAGAGAACACACTCTATGGCTGGTTTATTTTTCAGCTTGTGGCTTGGCAACGAACTTCTCAGAACTGAAGAAGATTTCAGGAGCTGGTGGGATTTTTGTAAACCAAACATCTTTCTGAAAGAAAACACTGCTTTTTCCCCCTCCAGGTGCCAACTTCACTGGATAAAGCACATGACACAGTATAACACAAGGTGTCTTTGGCAGTACAGTACCTGGATGGGTAGCCAGCTGCACTGATACGGATGGTCTCCAACACACCACAGGCTCTTAACTGCTGGACTGCTCTCTTTGGATCAAATCTGCAATTACATGTTAGAATGATACAGATGAGCACAGTTTCCCACTCCATGCACAAAATTAAAAGAAACCTAGCAGCAGCGTATCCGGAGGCAATGACAAGAATATTTACGTTGGCAACCTTTCCAATACAGCTGGGTTTCATTTCTGCTTATATACACAGCACGTACAGAAAGAAACTCTGCCATTTACGTTCTCCTGCATGTTGGGAGAGCTCAGTTTCCTGCAGCCTGGAAATCCTTATTGGAATTCTTTGAGCAGGTGGATTAACATGTGAGTTATGCAGCACGATTAAAGGTTTTCAGGAAAAAGAACTGAGTTGCTCGTTAACAGAAAGATAGACATCACTGAGCAGAAAGAGGGATGTGATGACTGCACCACAGCATAACCTATAACAACAAGCAGTACAAGGTGCTTTTCTGCATAGCCAGAAAACCTATTCATCTGAGGTCTATAAGATGCGACATTTTCTAACAACAGTGTAATAAGGCTCTGATGTAAAGGGCAATGAAATTCTTAGGGAAGACAACACCAATTTCAATATGAAAAAACATTCTATACGATCAATACCATTACAATTAATACCAAAGTAATGATCAGACCCCACTTAACTGGCTTTGGAAACCATATGAATTTAAATGTGGTTTAGGAGCTTTAATCTTTGTTTCAATGGAACTTTGCTATCTTAGATGGCACAGGGCCATATTCTATTCTGGTTCTGGGCACTGAACCCACATTGAGATCAGCCGGTGTTCATACCAAACAAGCATAGTAAATAGAGTCCATTTTCCACAGCATGTGCACACAGAGGTCCTGATTCTCCACTCTTTGGCACCAGACACTGCATTTCAATGGGACTGCACTGGGGTAAAACATTGCAATGGAGCAGAGATTCATAGATTCCAAGGTCAGAATGCACGATTGTGATCATCTAGTCTGACCTCCTGTATATCACAGGCCACAGAACTTCCCCAAAATAATTCCTAGAGCACATCTAGAAAAACATCTCACCTTCATTAAAAATTGTCAGTGATAACGAATGTACCACAACCCCTGATAAATTGTTCCAGTAGTTAATTACCCTCACTGTTAAAAAAAAAAATTCACCTTTTTTCAAATCTGAATTTGTCTAGCTTCAAATCCCAGACATTGGATATTATATAGCTTTATCTGATAGACTAAAGCACCCATTATTAAATATTTGTTCCCCATATAGGTACTTACAGACTGTAATCAAGTCACCCCTTAACCTTCTCTTTGTTAAGCTAAATAGATGGAGCTCCTCAAGTCTATCACTATGAGGCATGTTTTCTAATCATGCAAGCATTCTTGTGGCTCTTCTCTGAATCCTCTCCAATTTATCAACATCTTTCTTGACTTGCGCACACCAAACTGGACACAGTATTCCAACAGAGATCACACCAGTGCCAAATACAGTGGTTAAAGAACCTCTACTCCTTGAGATTCCCATTTATGCATCCAAGGATTGCCTTAGTCCTTTTAGCCACAGAGTCACCCTAGGAGTTGGTGTTCAGCTGATTATCTATCACAATCCCCAAATTGTTTTCAGAGTGTCTGGTTCCCAGGATAGAGTCCCTCATCCTGTATGTATGACCTAAGTTCTTTGCTCATAGATGTATACAGTACATTTAGCCACATTAAAAAAGTATAGTTTGCTTGGGCCCAGATTACCAAGTGAGTCATATCACTCTGCATCAGTGATCTGTTCTCTGTTACTTACTAGTCCCCCACTTTGTATGTCGTCTGCAAACGTTATCAGTGATGATTTTATATTTTCTTCCAGTTAACTGATAAAAATACAAAATAAATTAGGGCCAAGAACTGATCCCTGCAAGACCCCACTTGAAACACACCCACTCAGTGATGATCCCTCATTTACAATTCCATTTTGACACCTATCAGTTAGCCAGCTGTTAATCTGTTTTAATGTGTGCCATGTTAATTTTATATAATTTTTCTCTTTTAATCAAAATATTGTGTTGTCTCAAGTCAAATGCCTTACAGAAGTCTATGCCTATTATATCAACATGGTTAACTTCGTCAACCAAACTTGTAATCATAACAGAAGATATCAAGTTTGTTTGACTGAACCTATTTTCAATAAACCTATGTTGATTGGCATTAATTATATTACCCTCCTTTAACTCTATATTGATGAAGTCTTTTATCTGCAGCTCCATTATTTGCCTGGGATTGATGTCGGATTGACAGACCTGTAATTATCCAGGTCGGCCTGTTTACCCTTTTTAAATATTGGCACATCATTAGCTTTCTTCCAGTCTTCTAGAACTTCCCCAGTTCTCCAACACTTATTGAAAAACAACATTAATGGTCCAGTGAGGTGCTCTGTTTATTTCAGGCGCTACCCTAACTGCGTGTGGTAAAGAGACAATGCTTATCAAGGGGAGAACAGGTCCCTATATGTATGTTGGGATTCTGAATGCCCCTAATGTTTCAATCTGGAGATCAAGAATTCATGAACAATTTTTAATTTGCTCAGCTGTGCTAGAGTAGTGTAAGAAATACACCTCTGCTATTTTCCGCATTTTTAAACTCAGCAATGCTGTCAAGTCCACAGCAAGTTATCCATTATAATACCATGAAGAAAAAGAGAAGAAGTTTAACCTGTCACTCACTCCAGACAGGAATCCAAGGGGGTGCAATTTTAATAATAATAAATAATAGCAATGTTAGCAACTTTCATCCTGGAGGATCCCAAAGCAACTTATACTGTATACAAAGAGATCTCTCTGATTTGCAGGCACCTGCTCTAAACCACAGTCACCCTGCAGGTGGAACATAGCAATCAGTCTTCACCCGTAACACTACTCAGCACAGAAAGAGTCAAATAACCTCTCCAACTAAACTATACAGGGAACTTTGCGTCAGTAGATTATATTAACTGAAAACAACATTTGGTCAAGTCACTTGAGTTAACACTCTCTTCTCGAGCAAAAAAGTGCTCTGGGGTCTATGATCTCTGAGTGACCAAGAACTTGGCTTTCCAATCTCAACGTTAAGCAACTTTCAGTAATGATGTAAGGTAGGAGTTACGAACACAACTCCTAGATGTAGCTACTTGGAATTGTAGTTGTAACCACTCTTTACATTTCACTACACTAAAAATAAATACATACATAAATAAAAATCCTCTAGAATAAAAGATCACACAGATGAGGCTGTTACCATTTCTCACCTTAGCTGGATCAATGATGAACTAAAAATTAAGGAAATAGGTTTATTATTATTAACCACTCACTTCTTTTTTTCTTGACTTGGGAGGCAGAAAGGTCTAGTGGATTGAACATGGCCTGGGGCCAAGAGCTATAATTCATGAGTTCTGCCATGGACTCACTCTTAAGTGCTCTTAAGCAAGTCAATTGGGCCAAAATTTTCAGAAGAGCTTAAAGCTAGCCATCTAATTCCACAGTTAGGCACCTAAACAAGTGACCTGAGAACCCAGCAACTTTCACTGAAATCAATAAGTGTTCCATGGAGGAAGTCATTCGGAGCTTGAAAATGAGGCTACCAATTTAAGTACCTAAATGTGGATTTAGGAACTTAATTTTAGGCTCATACTTTTGAAAATCATTGCCTTAACCTTTCTTTGCCTCAGTTTCTTCATCTATAAATTACACATACAATTACTTGCCTACCTAACCCGAATGCTGGGAAAAACTGAGTTAACGTTTGTATAGCACTTTGAAAATAGAAAAGATAAGATTTTCAGACTTGAAGCCAATGGGTCTATGGCTGTTCAGCACCGCTGAAATTCAGTGTACGTTTGTTTAGGTGCTTAAATAAGAATTTAGAAGGGAACCATTCAAAGGCACAAATAAGAGCTGGATACCCAACTTCCATTTCTGCCTTTGAAAATTTCCTCCTAGTTGACCAACGTTAAACACAATGGTTTGAAAATTTTGGCTGAAGTGCTTTGCAAGTAGTAAGCATTATGCTTACGGTGCTGCAGCTTCTTTCATGCTGGAAATCTGACACTCAAGTGTTTGATTCCTGAACTAATGTTCAGTAAACTAGATTTGTAGAAAAAAAAGTTAAATACTAAATTCTGAATGTCTCATTTTAGGAAAACGTCAAAAAATGTGTCTACTGATATAAGGAGGTTTAAGAAAATGTTCCTCTTTGAATAAATAGGTTCACGTTCTTATGCCAAATGATGAAAACGACAGTGCTAAGCAACCACATTTTAGTGGCACTGCACTACCCCAGCACTAGCATTCCACTGAATTGTTTTCCCTCGCATGGCACAGCTGAAATGTGAACTGCAGTATCTTTATCATCTTGTCTGATAGGAGGAGGATTTTTTAGAGAGCAAATTGGTTTAATTTAAGTGATGCCAAAGACTTAAGTTGCTTAAGCTGGTGGCAATAAGGCTTAATACTAGTGAGGATTCCTGGATCACCAGTACCAGACAAGTAGACTCCTCTGAGGAAGGGTGGAGATACTGATCTCTAGCAAGGGGACGGCGATGTGAATAAGCCTGAACCAGTGCTTTCCAGTTGACAAACAGGAAGTGCAACTTCAACCATCCCACCCCAGAGTATTTTCCTGTGTTGCCTGCTGTTTTCAGGATATGATGTACACAATGGCCATACCTGCACTGCGAAGGAGTTTCATGTGCTCTTCAGGCTGGAAGAATAATTCTTGGATCTACTTTGGCTTTCCCTTTGTTTTGAAAACTTCAGTTTGGCAACTCCTCTGTTGCCTGTTAGGAAGCATTACATCAAACACTGCAGCATCACCATTCTGGGACCATGCCTAGAGACTATAACAGTCAGGCACACTTGTATGCCTGCAACTTGTTTCAGTTTTGCACCTCTAATCATGTGTAGGTACAGCTGACGTCATTTAGAATTTCATGATTAGTTACTTGACCGCATCTGAACGCTATTTATAAATGGGCATCAGCTGTACCCTGAATACTTGGGGGAAAATTGGAATGTAAAATTGAAGGTGAAAAATTGAATACTCAGCTAAGGCTGGGTTGAAAACTGAGCCATGTGAATAGATGAGTCTCACAGCTCCCAAATTGGAAAGATCAGATAATTTCACCTTGGAGGCTACTTTGCTTACACTCTTTGGAGTTAGAAAATACTCCCATGACATAATCATACAGGTAACAATCTGTTTGGCATTTGCCAGTGTAGATGTATGGTATGTCATTTTGTAGATACAAATTGACTACAAGATTTTAAAATTGGCTCTGAGTGGCAGTTGTATTAGAATAAAACCAGACATGAGGAATTATGTATCACATAAGCAAACAAATGTTCTTTCCTTATCACTGTGGCACTCTAGGAGACCTTGATGTTATTAATAGGATTACATAGGAACTACTCCATCATGGTTTTCTACTATGTCTCCAACAGCAACCTATAACAGGCCCTTTAGAAGACACCTAAAAGGGAGCAACATTGGGTCCTTTCAATCAATGGCAAAATTCCACTGACTTAAATAGAATTGGGCCTAATTACATTCTTCCAAATGGTAATACAGAAAAGCTGTATCAGCTCACTATAATTATTTGTCCATTTTATTTAAAATGTATGTGTGCTCCTTCTAACTGCTGTGGCAGCTCAGGGCATCTCCTCAATCAAAATTCTCTCTCTCACTCAATTGGAATACTGCATCAGCTGATATGACTCATGTTTTTGGACTTCTATTAAAACAAATACGTAACAGGAACAAAAAATACCCAAGGTACAAACGAAGTGTTTTCAATGGAAATTTAAGGAAGTTGCTTATCCCTGTCTTTTCATTTCTCTCCTTCTGCTATTATTCATTGTTTATCACCGTATCTGTGCAATTTAACTCTAATGTGTTGTGAGCTTCTAAGATATAATTTGATCAGACACTATTGCAAAAGCAATAGTTCTGTATCGTATTGTACTGGGATATTGTATGTGGTTAGTCTGGGTCAGTGTAGCAGTAGCAGAGTATATTTGTTAGTGTGGGCTACATTTTTCTCCCATTCTACAGCACTTGGAGAGTACCACACTTCTAATATGTTCGACCATTAAAACAAAATAAACTATGAGGTATATTTTCAATCATAAGGGCTTCAATCAACAGAGGACACTGATTGTGGGACAACAGTTCTTAGAATTATATGAGTTACAGAATTTGAAATTCTTAACTTTAACTAGCCATACAACAAATTCCAAGCGCTCATACTACAGTGCTGTAGTATAAACCCCCACGCTAGGTAATCCCAGTAAACTAGTAATAATCTTTCAGGACCCACCAATAACTGTACACCCTCAACTCCAGTTGAAATCAGTGGGGCTTGAGGGAGATCAAATGCTTAGAGCACATTTTAGAAGAACCATTTTGTAAAAGGACGTGTCACTTTTAAGAGGAGTGGAACTCCAAATATTTTAATGTATAGAGACTTTTCAGCCCTTTTTACTATGAAGGACTAGAACAGCTAGCTATGTTGGCTTATCTTAAAGTGGAACTTACTTGAACGGAAGTTTCTCATCATTTGGCTTGATGCAGCGCACGTAGTGTGGAGTGGTAGCATTCAGTGTCTCCATCAATAAATGCAAGGAGTTTCGGAACTGAAAGAGACCAGAACAAAAATAAAATCCACTTATCTTTGAGTGGGGGGAGGGAAGGGGTGAATTTGGAGTGTTCAAACTCTTAATTAGGCCTGAAGATGACAAGGGCAAATTTGGAGTATATTCTAAATCAAAGACAAAAGACTACTTTACAAGCAGACATCAGTGATAAGTGGAAGCCTGAACCAGCCTATGGGTATGAAAATAATATGAATTTTCATATAAACCCAGATTGTACTCTAGAACTCTTGGTTCTACACAAACAAACACAAGAGCTACATCAAAGCAATGTTGTAGGACAATACCAAGGGACTATTTTGTGGTTTCAGGCATCATCCCTTCAACTGAGATGTTAAAAGACCCTATCTTGGTAGCTCTACAGCTAGAAGTAAAAAGTATCACTGGCTCTTTAAGAGAGAGCAAGGTACTCTCAAGGTTTAACACCAGTATTTTCAATAAAACGTGTTCCAATGAGTCCTGCACCAGCCTTTGTGCTCCTTATTCTGTGTCTCAATCACGTCCAATCAAGACTACTGAAGTCAACTCATTTGTGGTCTTCCTAAATCCCTCCTCTCTAAACGTCAGGGGAAAAGCCAGATTATTCAATCCACACCAATAAGCAGGCCTATCTTAAACTCTCCCTCATCATCTTTCACTCTCAATGGCTTCTTCGTAATCTCTGCATCAAATTCAGTATGTCCTCCTGCCTTCAGGATTCTATATATGACCTTGACTTCACCTTCCCTCTCTAATCTCACACCCATCTATTCCTTTGCCTGCTCATTCAGCTCATCTCTTTTTGCCTTCTCTGTCCAGTCCCCTTTACTCTGCACAACTGGAGGCTGCTTGTCTATTCGTGTTGCTCCACCTCTGAAACGCTCCTCCTATCACTGGCATGTTGAACCAGTTTCTCTTTTTCTATCACTTTTTTTTCTCCTCTATATCTTATGGCTGACCCACATGGTAAATAGTTTTGTGACGCAACATCCGAAAGACACCACCCTGCATCGTAACTTTAAATTACAGCTGTAATAGCCAAGGCTGAGCGTCTACTATCGTTGACTACTGTAAATATCTGCCCCACATGGCACTAGCTTTTACTTCATTACTTTGAAAAGGGCTTGGGAAGAATCGGAAAAGGAAAGCTGCCATGTAAAGAACTAGTCGACTTTAAATCCAGTGAAGACTTTACCTGGTGCCCCACACTTTTCTTGTGCTCTTTGTTGGCAGCTTTCACAGCTGGTCTGGCAGAACGGACGCTGATTTTGGGGGCGGCTCCCTTTACGGTCAGAGTAGCAGGTACAGAATCCTTTTCATCTTGAAATAAGTCAGCTACCATTTGACACTAAGCGGGAGACAGGAAGACCATAAGCACCTATACCATCTATTATGTTTACCAAAGGAATTGCACTGCGAGCCACATTGCAGCCAAGACAACTTGCAGGTGTTCTCAACCTAAACTTCTAAGACTGGGCCTGAGTTACAGGTGAGAAAAGGGCAACAAAACAACATGACCAGGATTAAAAAAATCTTGCACGTGCACAAACAGCGTCGGATTAGGTATTTTGTTATGTAGGTTATCCAATGAGGACTTTCATTTTTGTCAAAAGACCCATCTGAACAGCTGTGGCATTGAAAGCAGAAATGCTGTTCAAAGCACAGGGATCCGTGAGAGAAAGGACAATGCTCAGTTCATATCACAAACTTCAATTGTGCCGTTATTGTACAGTCTGCTGGGAAACAAGCCCAGCGGCTGGTATCTTAAAGGATTCATCTCGCTCTACATGATATAAAGCTTGCGCAACATTCTGTTCTCAGAAGGGAATGGGAGAGTTCTGCTACTGCTTAAAATGTCTCCTCACCATCAGTGACTATCCTTCCCTTTCAGAAAGTCATTCAGGTCTTCATGCAGCAAGAAACACTGTCAGAATAATGTTCCAGTGCTGTCAGTGACTCACGGCATATTGCTTGCTATTTCACTCACGAAAGTAGAGCCTGATTTGTACGACAGACTGAAGCTTGCTGGTTCTGGGATTTCAAAGCCAGCCTGGTCTGTCAACCCGATCAGATCAAATTGGCACCCACCCCCCCAACTTCTTGAATTTCACCATTTACAAACAGTACCAACAAACGACAAGGGCAGACCCAGACCACCATTCTGCTGCTACTGAACCTCCTCTTTCAAAGCTTTGGAACGAAACCAGATGGTCTGAAAGCCTTGTGCCTCTGGCCATAGAGCAGCACCATCCGTGTGGAACACAAAAAAGGAGCAAAAGTGAAAGTTTTACAAAGCCAGGAAAAATGGGCCAGCATCTTCAGATTTCGATTAAGTTAAACACCTCCAGTACATAGGGGCATGTAAATAAGTTTTTCAGAGGTGCTGAGGTCTCGCCTGTCTCATTCAAATACAATTACATATCTATTTATTCAGCTTTCCCCTTCAAACTAGAGCTACATTTAAATTATGGGTGTCTGAACGGAAAAAAAATATACAGTATCTTTTATCCATTGCTGTTATTTACTATGGTCTGATGCAGAGACTGCTAAAGTAAACTACAATATGATTCAACTGTTCAACCAGGCATTAGTTAGCAAGGAAATGTAATTCCACCTCAATTCAAGCACCCTGGGGTGGGGGAAGGGGTCAAGCGCGCACACACACACTGTAGTGACTAAACGTGGTATCAGAACCTATGTAGACTAGAACAGAACAGACTGCAGCCTTGCGGTGCTTATGATGTGGCATGCACAGCACATAAGAGCTTAGAGAGAAAGCACAGTGAACAGGAAAGCCCTGCACAAACCCACGTACTTATTTGTTATGCCGCCCCAGAAAGGTCTTGTGGTAAGGGATGAGGACGCTACCTGATCCCCCTACAAACAAGGGGTTAACCTGGGCTCAGTTTTTCCTTTCACTTTGCACAGGTGCTCAGGGGAAAGATTATAAACTGGCTGAGGGAGTGGGAACTCACCAGGGTCATAGGACTGGGTTAATCCTAGGTTGGGGAAGTTTAATGTTACTTATCCTCTCCTCACACTTGTTTTCCATTGAATCATCTACCTGATGGACAGTAACACCCACGTAGGCACTCTACTGTTGAGGATGGGTAGTAAGTCAATGCCCCAATCTAGGCAGCAGATCCTCAGCTGGTGTAAATATTCAGAGCTCCACTGAAATCAATGGAGCTACAGAAGTTGGCATCAGCCCTTAGATGTTTCAAGATTGTAAGTTCCTTGAGGCAGGGACAGAGCCTTTCTTTGAGTCTTGTACAGTGCTGAGCATGCTCGTGGCACTTAATAACGATAATGAATTGTTATATTCTGTCTTAACAGCAACTGCTCATGCTTTTGATCTATGATAAAATCAGTTCTCTCTGCTTTGAGTCATCTCTTTACTTCGTTTTGCTACTACAGGGCTGCTGAAAACTAATTAACTGCTTCATAAGTCTTTTACTGTCTGATTGGCCACAATAATTGCCTTCTAAAGAGTGTAATGCAATTTCACCTTGTTGGGAGTTCTTCAACAAGGATCTGTTTTGGAGGTGCGTAAGCACTCATGGTGTTCATTTCTGGGGTTCCCCCCCATTCCTAGTACCGTATTATGTATACTGGCCTGATCCTGCCTCATTGACGTTTAACTTCAGAAAGAATCAGATCAGTGCAGAACTTTTTTCTGCACGTGTCAGTTTTGCTGAGATCTGTGTCCCCCTCTCCTGGCTCACACAGGATGCTAGGTATAACGTTACTACCGCTAATGGAGATCTTCCTTTGTTTCCCAGGGAAAGGGGCCTGCCTTTTTGAAGCAGGAGGCCCAGATTGATATTTCCATTTGCGACTGAAGTCCACATCGTGATTGCGTGAGAAACAGCCGATAAAAATAAGATCTAGGTTGCCACTGAATCAACATCACATGACACAGAAAATGCAGCATTTTGGAGGCTTCGCTAAGGGCATGTCTTCACTGTAACGTGGCTCTGCAGTCACGGCACCAGCACTGGGAGAGCTTTCCCAGCGCTATAAAAAAGGACCCATCTCCACGAGGGGAGCACCTCCCAGCCCTGTAGCACTGTCTACACTGCCACGTTACTGCGCCGAAACGTGCAGTGCTGTAAAGAGGCAGTGTAGACAAGCCCCAAAACAAAGCAACCTTTGTACTGTATGCAGATGTATACAAATGCGTATAAACTAAACTCGTTATATACCTCCACATAAGTGTAAACATATTTAAAGAACACTCAAGCTACAGCAGGTAGTGGAGCTAACAAGAATGCAAAGTGAAAATAAAATCTCTCTGCCTCTCCCCCCACTCCCCCCCCAGAATAAGATGCAGGGTCACTTTAGCTGCAGAACAATGCAAAGTGCTGATAAAGGGTGTCTTCAGACAGCCAGTTCAAAGAAAGAAAGGAGTTATTTGAATGGTCACCTGAAGCTTCAGACCAAACCTGAACATGTTTTGAGACTGTAATAAGTTTAAACAATGAGGAGTCCTTGTGGCACCTTAGAGATTAACACATTTATTTGGCCATAAGCCTTCGTGGGCTAAAACCCACTTCATCAGATGCATGGAGTAGAACATACAGTAGGGAGGTATAAATACACAGCGTATGAAAGGATGGGAGTTGCCTTACTCTGAAACCTGTAATAAGTTTGGCTGCAAAAGAAGAAGTTTTAAACATTATATCCTCCCCTTCTTACACAGTTCCTTGTGATAGCTGGGTCTGTACAGAACAACATACTTCATTACCTAAACCAGTATGTATTGAAAAATCTCACATGGAAGAAAATAATTCCAAAGACTTTTAGCTTAGCTTTTAGGCCAGGTAGGTCTCAAGCAGTATCCACTGAACCTTTGACTTTTCTGAGACTTGCCCATCATTAATGACCAAAACAATTGTAGTTTCTACCTTCTCAGCTCAAGCCCAAAGGACCCAGTTTTTAGGCCCATTGGCTCAGGCCCCAAGATTAGGCTCTGTTTTTTAAAATAAACTTGACTCCACCAAAATGACCCAAACTGAGGAGACCTGAACCTTGCAGAGCACAAACAAGTAAGATGGCCACACAACATTCTACTCTCTCCAGCCAAGTAGAGACAGGGACCCTGAGGCTACCAATCCCCATCTGAGCAGATGAGCATGTGGGGGGAGAAACAGCCAAGCCCCCTACCTTCCTCAACATGAAACAGGTAGCATAAGAGGAGAAAGATTCCCCGAGGAAGTCTGTGGGACACCTTCAAGTGCAAAGTATCAACCATTCCAGTAGATGCCAAAAGGATAGCTCCCTCTTTCAGCCTCTTCCCAGCAACTGCGAGGGAGAGCGGAGTTCCTATCTCCCCAGAGGGAATTAACACCAAATATAGGATTTTAATCTGGGTTAGAACATGAAAGATGTGGTGGATGGAGAAAGCGGAGGTGTTTTGTGAAAGGGGATGCGGCTAGGAAGAGGTAGTGGGGAGACCCCAGCACAGTTCAATTTAGCAACTGAAAGGCGGAAGTGCTACCGTACTGGTGACGTTGGGGAGGTGGGGGGAGGCAATGGGGCTGGTAAAGGATATTACTCTTACCTGGGTCCACATGAAAACGGCACAAATAAGGGCTCAGTTCAGAGGTGATGTGTGAGGTGGTACAAGTTACGAGACCGTAAATGGATGTAAAAGTCAGCAATGGATGTAAACTGCTGTCTCTTACATGCTCAGAGTCTTAACCAGAGAGCTGTCACAGGAATGCAGTTAACAATAAGAGCCCCTGCTGCATGCTTCAGTTTAGGGCTTGTGCTCATGCAGACTTAGCGTGCAGCAAGCTGAGCTATGAATCTGCAACTGAAAGTTCCGTAGCAGGCTTCGATCTACTGTGTGCTGTAGCAGGGTCCACGCAGCCAGTTAGTGAGCAGCAGGCTAGTCCGCTCTAGATTCACACCCCAGAGCTTGCTGTGCACTAAGCCGTTACACTTTCTTCCAGCTCCATGGCACAGAGGTGCTGGAACAATTTGTATAATGGGGATACCATTGAATCATACTGTGAACCCCATATATGGTGGAAACTGCTTCAATCCATGGGGTGCGGCAGGGCACCCAAGACCCCTAGTTTCAGCACCCATGCCTTGCCATGTAAATCACAACAGCTTAAATTCCCTTACATGCATTTGGTCACTGGTAATTTACATCACCTTGCACATCACATCTGCATTTGGCCCTATGAAATTAAGAAAGAATTGGGGAGAGGGAAAATATCTTGGTAATAAACCCACAACTCAGGTTGTCCAATACTAAATGAGTGAACTGCAGGTGACAGATGTGTATCCAGGGTTCAGGGCTGCTCTAATAACTGTTCTCCTCCTCTACTGCAGTGT